AACGTTGTTAAACATTTAGGTATATTATGGAATACATGATCTAAGAAATTATATAACAAGACCTGATATTATTAAAAATTGTAATTTCGTGTAACGAGTCTTATCGACTTATTCAATTTAATTTTAGAATTTCTTACGGCGAAAGGGTTACGTTGAGAATCGCTGTGCCTTTATCACCTCGCGCATGAGAAACACCGGAAATGGTGCGAATGGGTGTTGAACCCCGGGTGAAAAACGCGTCAAGTTCGACAGTGAATCATCCGAAACAGCATGATAATTGCGAGCCTTGAAATTTCCATACAAATGGGTATAAAAGAATGACATCCAGCAATTATTTTGCATTAAAAAAAAAAAAGAAAGGAAAATTATAGTGGCTGCTAAACGAGGCCTAAGTCTTCTTAGAATAAATATTTATTAAGAAGACGATAAATAGACAAACGGTAAATAATTTAATTAATTCTTCCAGGTCAAAGTGATTACTGTTTTGCATAAGAGGCGAGTGTTCAAATGAAAGGCCACGATGCGCGAAATTAAAGAGTTCTGTCGATAATGTATAACTTGACACAATGTTATACCATAGCTACGTGAACATCCCAGTGCATTTCTGCATTAATTTCATGCTCGCACAACTGTGAAACCGTTTTGGTCCGAAGCTACAATCTCGGTGTATACACCTAAGAAATACTCGATCCATGAAATATAATAATAAATTCTATGTGAAACCACGAGTGAGTTAAATGAACTCATTAAAAAGTATAAGTACATTCAGTCATTAATAACAATCCCATTTTATGCTTGAGAATGATCTGATTGAATGTAATACTTTATTTCATATTTTAGAAATGTAAAAAAATTTCAAAATTGAAATATTTTTCAAAAGAAAATTATTTTGCATTCAAGGTTTGAAATGATATTTAAAAAATTAGAAAAATTTAACGTAATTGTAATTTTTAAATTATTTGTTAGTCGTGATAATTTGTAATTGTTATAAAATAAAAGGAGTAGCTATGACACTTAAGAAAATTAAATATAGAATGTTCCTTTGTTTCTCAGAAATTTAAATGACTTTCCAAAGTGGTTCAAAGCATGCTCCATTGAATTGTTATGGTCCCACATGTGTTCCTTCCCTGCTGCGAGAAAAACGGTAAGCCGAACGCGAGCCTAAACATTTCATTCTCAGGAGTCCGTGCTCGATGGTCTATTTTTGCCCTTTAGCAAAGGACCAACAGTACGATTTCTGAATAAGAACCGAACGACACGTGCGACGGTAAATAAGGACGCTTCAGGGGGTTATGAGCACGTGCTCCATTATTTACGCCCGCCTTTTCCAACAGAAAGATTCCGCTAAACGGTTAAGGAAGTAGCAAAGATAGTCGATTATCTATGAAATTAATTTCACCAACAAAATAAAGAAGCTTGGAAAATTATAATAAATAGTAATAATTAATGGGAGTACAAGAGCCCTCTCCAGGAATATATTAATTAAAAAATTATTAAAAACTGAATTGATTCAATAAAAATTCAAAAATGACTTAAAATTTAAAGCCCCATTTAAAACCCTGTAAATTTATTATTTTCAAGATATTTTCACTAGAAAGAAATCCAACAATTTCACATTTTAAATTCCAAGAGAAAGGAAATGCATTTGGCACAAGTTCCGTGTTTTCCATCACAGAGGTTCTAATAGAAGCGTACCTAAGAAGAAGATTTCCGGGATTTTTTAATCGCCCGGAGCGCGAAAGAAACTGCAAAAAATGTATCCCCTGTTATGCAGTGCAACGTCCCTTTCAAAAGCACACTCTTTCCCCTTCATTGTTTCTGACAGGATGACTCTCAACCCCTCGGCCAACGGGGCGAGCGTGATCCACACTGACAGCGGCAGCAGCGCCAAATACATATTTACATACACGAGGGGTGATTTAGATGGGCTAAAAAAGCCGCCGCCTAGTATTTTAAAGCGGACGCAATACTAAACCCTGTCCACGTTTTCACCTAGCGACGCTTTCGACTATTCGAAATCGTCCCCCCGGATGTTGTTATCTGATCTGTGACTGGAATTCCGCCTATTTACACCGGTCAGTTCGAATTTTTTTCTCTCGACTCGACAAATTTTTCCGTTAAATTTCCTCTACGATTGCCAAGCAAACTCCAGAAAATATTGCAAAATTACATATTTAAGTATTAAATTCTAACCAATCACGAGATACAGAAAATACCACTTGATTTATACTCGTTTCTACGAGCATTAAAAAAGCAGCTTACCAGGTTCTTTAATCGCTTTAAGGCTCTTTAGAGCCAGAAGGACTGGTACGACTCCCTTTCGAGCACCCTCCGCTCGGTGCAAATACGAATACCACCTCTAACCACTTTCACTACCGCTAAGTGAATCTGAGATAAGCGAGGAAACGAAGGGGAGAAGGAGAAAATCTATTACAATTTACTCGATACAAAATAAACTGGATTAAACCTCCTCCGGGAGGTCTGATAAATCAAACTACCCGAGTAACCAATAATAAATAACCAACAAAATTTTGGTTGAATTTAAGAAAATGGGGTGTTTTTTCTGCCATAGGTAGCCCTTGATCTGGCTATTCTATCCCTTAACCCTTCCCCAGGAGTCAAAAACTGAAATGGTCCAAAAGACAAAAAAGTCATTTCACAAAAAAAACTAACCTAACCTGAAATGATCCTACGAGTAATTCAAACTCAATAATTCATAGGTTAGGTTAGGAGCATTTTTTTAATGGTATCTATGGTAAAAAAAATCAGCTCGATCGGGGGTACCCCATTTTCTTAAATACAACCAAAATTTTCAATCACGCTATATCGCATGGAAAGACAATCATTGGCGAACGTGCTTAATTTGAATTTTTAAATACGACACTCCTGCCCGAATCCCTGATCTATCGCGAGCAGACCCACACCGAGTGTCGCCCTGCAGGGGTGGTCCCCTCCGCGTCTTCTTGAAAACGTATTCGGTGCATGCAGTTTTGCAACGTGGCTGCTGCTGCACCAGCAGGATGTCGGAAGGGGTTGCGTTCGCACCGGTAACGCGATCAATAAGATAATTGAAGACTTTCTCGACAATGCCGGCGGAAGGGAGCAATTTCGCCATCTCCCTTGTACTTGAGCAAGGTCATTGTTTCCGAGGGGATTCTCATCTCGTTTCTAAGCACCGTTCGCCTCCATCCTTATAATTGTATCCTGTTCTGTGCCGGTTTAAACGGCATTGCCCCCGGCCACGCGAGAAATTAATAAATTGAGAAATAAGAGGCTAAACTGAATGGCGAAGAGGGTGGTAAGAGGATATCATTTAATTTATTTAAAAATAAAAACTTTTTAAAAATTCGCCTTTGGATTATTTTTTTTTTTTTTTTTTTACCATGAAAAATATTCAATTTCTGTGAAAATAGTTTTTCATTCGTTCTTTAGTGCTGGGTAAAGTGAGGTGAAATCATGTTACCCTATTTTCCCCCGCACGGTAATTCAATATCAGTTTATCGAGTAACTTTCTAGCTGAAACTCTGTTGAAGTTAATTAAATATCCGTTAATTCCAGGTGGTTGCATCGCGGTGTATCGGTGAATATTTTAAAATTGAATACGTAACAAGTTAACCCGCGCCAGCCGAGGCGAGAGGAAAATAAGGCAACACGAAACGAGAGTACACGGTCAGTTAATCAACCGTGAAAAGCGAACTCGTAGAAACAAGGAATAACGAGCGGGCAACGAGATACAGCGAAGCCCTGTGGGAGATCGAGAAACCATGCATAACCATTACCTCTCGTGAAAGAGCTTATCCACGGTGCAATGATACGGAAAAAAAAAAAAAAAAAAAAATGATTCAAATAATTCAAAGGACGAGCACGTGCATGCAACGACGCGTGGTGTTGGAGAATGCTGGAAAGTCTGCCCCCTGGAACGGGCGTAACGGTATCCCAGGAATTTTAGACACTTATCCGGAGAAATTCGATTCCGTTAGGAAAGTGAATAACCGAGAATCAACGAAGCAATCGCGAGACAAATTTTGTATAAAAAAAAAATATTTCATCCTTGGGATACCGAGCTGAAATGGTACTTAAAATAAAATCTAAGGAAATAATATAAAATTAAATTTAAATTGTCATGGTCTTGGCGTTCATATGTTCAAATGATAAAACATTGATAGATCCCTGGATTATTAATATTTAGTACATTGTTTCGCTAATTCAAGCCGGGTCTATCGGTTCGAATGGCGGACAGAATGTAAATAAACCTGATGCCGGTAACTGTTCGCGCAATAGATAATGCTCGTAACGAATGTAACAGTTAATGGAGCCTCTCGGTTGAACTGTTTAACAAGCATGCGACCAACCAACGCAAAACACGCTGCACGTACAAAGAGAGAGTGCTCACACGTGCGTGAACGTAAGTAAAGGGAGTTATAAGTGAAAAGTGACCGGGTCACTATATCATCGGGCGTAATTATCGTTCTGGTTCGATCAAAAAACATATTGATATTTTAACGCGGCTGTGTATGTCGGTACGCGATCGCGAAACGTTAGTTTTTCTAAACGAATTGATGATTCATATCCTCATTACGAATCAACCGCATTGAGCTGCACTGATTCATTCGTACATACATGCGTAATTCAATTGAGAATGAATATTAAAATTGCAAAAAAGAAATCAATATGTCGTTGCGATATACGTAGTGAAAAAAAAAAAAAAATGAAAAAAATGATTTAGAGAGCAGTTCGTTGGACACTATAGTATACACAGTTTGAAAAGGCTTGGCATAAAAAGAGTAAACTGACGGCAGGGCGGCGACACCCGGCGTGTCCCCACGAGGGTGGGTTTCCACGAAAGCATGCTGATAAAACCGGCGATCGATAAGAAGCGAGGGTGTACATAGTAATAGGTACATCGTCAAAGAGAAAAATGTAACAGCGAATGTGTTGCAAAGCGTTTGTTTGCAATTTGAATATTAAGAGATAAATTGAAGAGAAATAGAAAGACTCACCGCTTGAAACTGCTCCAACAACTCCTGCCGGTCGTCAATCGTAGTAGCCATGTTGTTCGAATACATAATCCTTCCGTGTTTCCTTTCTCTGCAGTCCCTGCGTGTAGCCCTTCTTACTACGCCTCTTATTTCTTCTACTCTCAGTCTATTGTACGCGACAACACAGAACCGGACGGGAAAACGTACAACGCGAGTCGGTAATTTTCGACCGGTACACGGGAATAGTTGCAAAAACGGTTACTTGGGGCGTTCTCGCACCTCGCATACGCGTTTTTGGTTACGACGCGGTTGTGAACGTGCCAAACACCGCAGGAACACGTCCTTGTATCACGGAGACGCAACGAATACTGAGCCTACCGCCTACCGAATACCAAACGGAGCGCGCGCCAGTCCACCGAACGGTTACGAAGATGGCCGAAGGATCACGAAGGGATCACCGCTCGACACCTTACGACAGGTTCAACTCGTTCCACGAAAATATTCATCTGCAATAAAAATTTACAATTTACCTTATCTGTTGAATAAATCATAAACAATTCTTTGTCTTACTTTTCGTTTTTTATGTTTCGTGTATAATAATGATTTAAATCGATATCTGTTATATATCATTGTTTTGTAACTATATGACTCACTAATATGTTATTTAATGGAGGAAAACATTACGGAATGTTACCATAATGTTATTTGAAACTGTTCTTTTAAAACGTGACACATTTGAAAACCTGAAGACGGAAGTTGTCAAATTCGCGTTCAATCGGACAAAAGACACCCATAAAGTTTTTCCAGCATGTTCTTTCTACAGAAACCCGTAAATTACTTTTCAGTTCGTCATTTCAACCCATCCGATCGTATTAAACTGTAGATAAAAAGTATAATGCTCGCTTTGCGAAAGGATACGTCCTCTTTTTGCTTCGAATCGCATTTATCGTAGAATAGACGCCGCGCACGTGACAGAAATACGAGTCCGTTTTGCACCATAAAATGGTGAAACACAGAATGAAATATTGCCAACTTCCGTCTACTGGAAATCATACATGGAATGAAACCACTTACCACTTATTGTTAGGCGAAGACATTCTGCTTCTCGAATTTGGATGTCCTTGACTACAATTAAAAGATATTAAAAACACAGAAATGAGATATTCTTAATCGCTAATCATATTTTTGTACCTTTCATTTGTTCGTACGTGAAGTTGGTGCACACAACTGCCCTTCTGCAACTGAACTTTTCCACTTGCACGATCTTCCTTTTTTAAAGTTCACAACCATTATTAAAAAGTAGTAATTATTTAATTTATACAGAAGTGAGAGAGAACATTACCTTATTTTAAAGTTATAAAGGCTCTAAATATTGTTGTAAGTTGCAGGTACGCTATCCTCGTGCCGTTAATTTAAAACAATACTACTGATGCCGTCTAACGGCAAGTCGCAGAACACGCTAAAAAATGAAGCGCGCCAAATTCAAACGGTATAGCAACGCGCTTACACATTTTTCTCGTTTTCAATAACTTAAATCCATTAACAGGATATGAACGCTCAACACTGCATGGTTATTTTAAAAAAGGATATAATTTTCCATGTAATTTATTATATCGATAATGCTATTTACAGGTGAAACAAAGCTTAATAATGAAAAATGATTCTTCGAAAGATAATTGCAACCGTATGCAACAATCATCAATGGCTACGTAGATAAATTTTCCATAATAGACAATCTTTTGTTATTATTATTTCACAGTTTAAAGAGTTCAAATTCTACTTACATCCATTCATTGAAATTTCATCTGTACATTAACACTTCTCCTATCTCAGATATGAGATAAAGAGGAAAAAAAAGCATTTTAATACAGTATTGAATGTACATGTACACATATACATTTAGTATATTTCATCAAAAATCAAAGTGATATAATCTTACAAATAAAGGCTACGTTTAACGCTACTTAATTCTAAGTTACATTTACCGTGTCATAAATATTTCTGTCTAAAAAAAGAAACAAAAAAGGATCACGTATAAAGGAAATAAACAATATATCCACGTGTTATACAAGTAAATATTAACGGTATATTCACGCAAGCGACGATGATAAAGAATTGCATCTCTCAATGGAAGGATCTCCCCTTCGATGAATTACTTTTCGAGGAGAATATGATGAAACATGAATGAAAAATGTATATATAAATACAAAATTAACGCGATATCGACTTTTGACTATACAAATTTTTGGTGGAATTTCAAAAGTCCTACGAGACAAGATTTCAAAATAATTCAAACGCCCCCCGACGATTTTTAAATAATTTCTCTGTGCATTACACAGAAAGGAATACATCTGATTAGACATTTAAAGCAATTGTAAACAGAATTACTACTAGTGCATCGAAAGTTAAGTAACAATTTTTGTTTAAGTTATTCAAGATTAGAGCTAACGCCAAAAGATAAGAAAGGATTAAATAACGATTGTTAGAAAAAAAATCTATCATATTTAAGCAATTGATCATATCACAAAACAAGAAATTTAAATAAAATTTAAAAAAAAGGAAAGACTTCATTCACTGAACAAATGTATAAAATAAAACAATATTATATGTATGAGTTGAACTTTTGATATTATACTCTGCTTTACACCGAATTAATAACATCCAGTTATTGTATTAATTAAAAAGGAAAGATGTTTTGGTCGAAGTATAATACTAATCTACTAATAATACGCGTAGTTTGGACTCGTTAAAGTTCTCGTTACGTAAACGCTTCGTTGCAAGGAAAACAGAATAATTGATACTAGACAGTTTGTGCTTATTATTTACCAAGGAAGATTAACGACTATGAATTTCTTTCGCCCACTGATTAGTATCTTGGAAAAAGAAAAAAAAAACGCGTAGGCACTTGCCTCGTGTTTGCTCGAACAGATTAGTATTCAACAATAGCACATGTGTACTTTTATAGTAAAGTACAATGCTCGGACATCTCCATTCTTGAAATAGTTTTTAAACAGTCGTATAATTTCCAACGATTTTTCTAATCACAATGTATTTTTAATGATAGTGTACCCTCTTACACAAACCTGAATTCGTATCTATTTTCTGTTTTAATCTAGAATAATCTAAGTACCTTGTATAAAACACATACAACCAATAATACACGTACGTATATACATTATCTTTTATTACGAAAAAGGAAACAAATTGAAATTCATACCTCATTTAAAAAAAAAGAAAAGAGACGAAAACACACTATCGTTAGAAATTCACTGTTTTCGCGTATCAAGACGCGACAATCAGATTTTCGAGCCTCTTTTTTTTTTTCTTTTTTTTCTTCATATCTGTACAAAAATATATGTGTGTACATATAACTTCTCATATGATACTCTGACCTACAGTATGTTTTAAACGAAAACGCGTAACGTACATCACCGACGCAATGAATAACTTAATACTAATTAAAAATTGGAAGGTATAATCTTAATTAGTATTTCAAATTATAAATAAGACATTCGCGATTGATTGATTTTTTTAATTAATAATCGCTACTATTAAGAGGCTTCCATTTAGTAAGGTGTTAATAGTATGTTCCGGTATGCAATTGTTTAAAACACACTGAGCGCCATTTTGTTCTACACGTAGCACACATTCATAGAGTTTTAGTACATGGAAACTCAGTTGATACTCGATTTCTTTAACAATTAATTGTACAAAGTTTCTTTTACGCCAATCGATCCAAGATAAAAATTTCATGTTTCTTTTTGTACACGATACAGTTCTGATTTTGCATACCGTGCAAAAGAACCACACTTAGGTAGACAGATAGAGACACGCACGTAACACATATGCATAAAAATAAAAAAATGAGTTTGCGTTTGAAATAAAAACGCGACTCGACAGTCGAATTAAAACGTAATTAAAGAATGTCGTTATTCGTTAAGGTGATGGTTTTGTACCAGAGTCAACTAAGCCGCATATCTATATCTTTTTCTTTTTGTTTACACTGATAATAACGATATAAATACTCTCTTAATTTTTATTTTATTTGCTAAGAATGAGATCCATATACGTGATGCTTACAATAATTGTCGCAACAATTTTATAATGTACAAAATAAAAAGCAAACTGTTAATTGTACTAAAAACATTTCAGCGAATTATAATGTGTAAAATAATTAATATCCTTGAGAAGTGAAGTTAAACAAATGTTAAACAAAAACACTTCTTTGTTAGGCCTTTTGAAAGTTCATCGCTAAATAATTTTTCATTGTTACCAAATTATAAAATTGTACACTCTGGTCCAAAATCCACTGAATTTCAATTAATCGTCTCAGGAAGGCAGATTTAGATATGCTATATATTTGCGTGTCAATTCTATTTCATTTTTTTCTTTTATACAAACTATAACTTATTTCCATCTACATCATGTTTTCGAACTAATCTTCTTATATGTATATATGTATAATAACTATATTTTAATACACACATCTCAGTCTATCTGTACATACTATTTAGCGCAAAGGGGATTATCGTCACCTTAGACGCCATTACAATTAAAAGCCGATATAAAAACCGACGGAATCTTCATCGAAGTAGAAGTATCTTGAAATGACTTTTCTTCGCTACGCGTATTATCGTCGTCGCTAATTTTTCCCTTCAAATACGTCTTCCCTCACTTCCCTAAGGGGCCGTTCATAAAGGATATTCGTAGATTTCTGTTGTTTTCAGACTTTTCCCTTTCCCCTTATCACACACGGTCAATTTTTGTTTAATTTATTATTAATTTTGTTTAATTTATTGAGTTTGTACTACACGTAAAAAGAGTAATTATGAATAATTAAAAATTTTAATAGAAGGTTGCTCAACAAAATTTATACATAGATGTCACAAAAGACTAGAATCTTTCTTCCCCCCCTCTAAAGACGGACGCCCTTTATGAACGACCCCTTGTCGTTCACATCTTTTCATACCTCACTTACAAATTGTCTTAACATGTATGATTTAGATTTAGTTTTGTCAACAGTCATTGGTCTCGCAAAACCTTTCATTTTCTGTCTTCACTTACACAGAGCGAGAGGTAAGGATTAACGACTATGAATGAGATGCAACTTTTCGATTTTCAAAAAAAAAAAAAGAAAGGAAAAAATCAGAAAAAAAAAATAGAAAAAATATCATACAAACTACGACACATATCACGGTTCATCCGTGATATCCGTATGAATAATACGCATCAATCATGGTTTGTTTTTTAGAAACAGTATCTTTCTTTACATCGAAACTCTGTAATTAATTTAGAGTCAACGTATTGTGTAAGCACATAGTTTAATGTTACGAATGAACATTAAACATCAATTATGTGAAAAATAATGTTTCACGAAGGTATAAATAAATGTATTGTACGCGGATAATAAATCCTTTCCACTTGACAAGTGCTCGGCTTAATCTTAAAAAATAAAAATACAATATACAGCAGGATACGTACGTAACATTCGTCACTTTCCAAGGCGTACGAAATCAAGATAGAAAAATAATGTTCGTGGTCGTCAAAATGTTGCTATTCAACAGCGTTGTAATACTTTATCCTCGACGTCCCACTCGCGACACAAACAATCGAATGACACCCGGTGACCTGCAGTACCAATCGACTGAATAATTTGTAGGTAACATTAATTGTTAGACTGTAATTGAACAGTCGAAATGATTTGATATCGTGAAACATTTCAGCCTTTTACAGTGCTAACAAGATAACGTAGGCTAGTAGGTCCTGACGAAGGACGTCGTTTCTTGAATATCTGCCTCACTGTCTGTACCTTGGTATCCCTGAGATTGAGAAAGGGAAAGAAGTGCATCCAGGCCTAATGATTCAGCTAGAGGATCTGGCGCTCTTGACTACAGTATAAACAAACGAAAAAGGAAAAAAAAAATGCTGCACTACTTATCAAATAAAAGACGTAAGGATATCGTACAAATAGCTATGCGATAAACAGAAGAAAAAAATAGAAGGATAGTAATTAAGCATGTTTTGCTAGAAATATTATTTTACATAAACATAAACAAAATTATCTGTTCTAAAAATAGCAGAGATGATAACAGAATTGCAGAAGGTATTATCGTAAACTTACCGTCGAGTTTTGTTCTGCCTCTTTACAATTACTGCAAATGTAATCGTCTTCTTCAGCTATTTCTGTGCGATCCAAGCCAACACAGTGCATATGGAACCAACCCTCACAGCCACCGTCACACTGTACCCAATCAACTTCCCTACCTGATATTTAAACAAAAATATATAAGACACTGCAATATTAGTATTTACGTCCAAACATGTTCGGCGCAGGAAATACTCTTACCGCTGGGTCGTAAGCAATTAACAGCAGCGCAATCATCTTCTTCGTCAGATGTATCCTGCTTCGTCTTCTTTCTGTTGCCACCTCTTTTCTTTGGACCTTCTTCACCCTCTTTGCGTTTCATCTACAAAAAAACCGATCAATCGCAAGTAGTTTAAAATTTAAATTTTATTACCGACACTGAAAGTTTTAATTTAAAAGAAATTACGCTTTTCAGTTTAGATACCTTTCGAGGTCCGCGCTTCATTGGCACCGGAGAACCAGCAGATTTTTTCTCCTTCTGCAATCCCTTGCGTTTAGCTAAATTCTTTTCTTCCATTTTTTGTCTGCCAAGCTTCTTGAGTAATTCGAATTCCTCAGATTTCCTTTTTCTTCCCCGTTTTCTCACGTCCCTCGTCTCTTGATTGGGATTGGTTTGAACGTCGTCGTACGTTGCATACTTCCGAACGGTGCTTGGACTATTCGTATGACTTAATATACGCCAGATGTGTTGCGTTTCGTCTAACGCTACCTCTAATAAATCACCTTCCATCATTAGTTCCTCTAAACGCAACCTTGCAGCTTGTGAAAGTGCAACTGCAACGTCGCTAGAGTCACTCGATTGTGACTTACGCTGAATTTTGGATACTGAAAATAATAGAACGTTATAAATATTTTACCTGAACTATCTATTCTTGTAGCGAGAAAAAATCTTACTATAAGAATATGCATGTTCGTTACTGTTGAATGTACTACAACTTGGCTCATCATCATCTATAGTAACAACATCGTCGTCATCGTCCTAAAATATCACGCACATAATTGATTATGTGTAACACATACAGCATATTAAAACATATATTTATACTTCATTAACGCTAGAAACTTACTGCCGTACTAATCATGCTATCATCTGAATGCACACCACTAAGCGGTGCAATAGCTTGTACCCTTTGATGCAATTCAGGATTATTTGCTGCCTTTTTTAACTCACTACTAATAATTTTTTCGGTTTTTTCGCGAGCTGCCGCTTCAACTAATTTCTGTGACAATACAGACAATTTTGCTAGCGCAGATGAAATTTCATCTGTAGCCAAGGCCTGTCGGGCTCGGTCCTATTAAATGTAAACATAGTTACAAACCATTGTATACGTAATTGTATATTGCAATAATTTGTTGTTATATATTTTCATAAAAAACCCACCTGCCAATTCATTGCACGTTCTGTTAAACATTGCAATGCCTCACCCTCCGGTAAACGGATTGGAATTTTTTGAAGACTAACTAGAAGAGCCAAAATTGTTTCCAATCTTGGCCGCCGTGAACGTAAACAACAAGGACATAAAAACTTAATTTCTCTTGACATTGGTAACTTTCCTTTATACGATGTTTTTGGTAAAGGTACGCAATTTGCTGAAATAACAATGACAATGAATTTTAACAATTAAATTTAATTTATAGTTATTATATATCATAAGTGAAAAATTATACTTACAATGGAACCAATCTTTACAAAGTTCACATTGAAGCATGAGTCCGAACCTCGGTCGACGACAGACACAATACCTCGAATCGTCGATTTCGGTCTTCATTAAGTTTCTCTCCCTTAAATTTCTCATTGCTTCCATTTCGCGTTGTTCAGCTAATTTAAACGCGGCCACAATGGTAGCCGAATCATTGGAATCGTCCAATTTTGTATCACAGACGAAAACGGGCCCTACTGACTCTTCGCTCTTATTCTTCTTAGATTTCAGCGCTTGTATACCGACTCCGATTCGTGGTGACAATGCTTCCATTAAAGTGTAATGCGAATTTTTCCTTAGGAATGTTCTTGCTGTTCTTTCTTTCCAAGTTTTTGCTTGGGAAAGAGTCGATTCTAAGATTGGAAGAGCATCTAGGTGCAACGGGATATTTCTACCCCGTTTAATTAAATCATCTAATGTATTATAATATGGAAAATTATCTCTTGCTTGTACGTCTTCCACCATCTTCGACCAATTCTTTGCTTTATTTAATGTGTCTTGAAGAACATCCAAACTTGGTAAATAAGCTTCTACCTTATCAGCCTCGCCAATAAATTCTTCAAGAGACGCAATGGTTTGTCGATTTTTTGTATGAAGGTACAATTTTGCTTTCTCTTCCCAGTTATCAATTGCAAGCATTAACGCTTGTAATTCCGAAAGCGTATTTTCTATACTTAAGTGAGGGGGTATTGTCATACCTTTTTCGATCAATTTTGCAAGATCATCGCGATGTATAGATTTTGGATCTTCTTGGAGAGTTTTGACTTCATCCAGCCATTGTATTTGTGCTAATTTCTGTGATAAGTAAATAATTATATTGAAGAATAACAATTTGAAATTAATGGACAGACGCTAATGTGTACATACTTGTTTTAAACGAACGAGTTGAGGTAGTTCAATGCAAATAGAATCACCAAAATCAATACACTTTTCCAGCTGTTCAATATCACAATCATCCTCTTTAGATTCAAACTCTTCTGCTTCTTTTTGAAACTGTAATACTTGATCAAGTATGAATTTAACTCCATCGGATTCCTTAAGTTCACAGCACAGATTTGTAATTTCTTTGTAGAAAAGTGTTAACTCTTCTACTGTAAGCTTATACTTAGTTTCAACAGATTGCCTAGTCCTATACAAAGAAATGGAAATCAAATTACTTGTACAAATATGTACCTTATATGTAAACTGGAGATCAGTAATACCTAGTACGCTGTTTATTATTCAAAAGTTGTTGTGCAACACTTGCACATTTTTCAGCATCTTGTACAGCAGTTGTTAAAGCTGTAAGCAACTCACTGTCTGGGAATTTTTTACTTTCTGCTTCATTTAAAAGTTCTTTTAATTCATTCAGTTCAATTTTGTCACTTTTCTTATCAGGGTCCATTGCTTCTTTTACTTTTGTCACCCACGAGTCAAATGACTCTGCTTTTAACTTTAACTTTTGTAGCATAATTGGTAATTCGTCTAAAGTATAGCGATAACGTAATGTGTGCTTTTCTGGAGGGCAGTCACAAAGTTCTGTGAAATGTCTTAAGCAAACTAACTGTGAACTGTGACATGAACATGTAACTGCACTCAAAAAACAAGTTGTCTTGCACACTTCACACTGTCTCTCATCATCTGGTAATAGTTCAAATGCTTCACGTTCTGCTTCTGTTACACCCTAGAAAGCATAATTTTAAACACAAAAATCACTTATGGAACAACTTTTCCCCTTTGTATTTGAAAAAAATTGTGCATGAAATGAAACTGTTAATGAAACACATGTATCCATCTGTAGAAAAATTCAGTTCCAAACAAAAAATATTTTATAAATATACAGTTTGGTTAAAACTATTACTGCTGTTTTTTCAATAAAATCGAAAGGAAAAGAGTAAAAATCTTTGAATCGATGCAGAAACATAATGTTTGTTTAGCATCATGGCAAAACTTTGAAAACATAACCTCTATTTCTTAATAAGAGTTATATAATCAAGATCAGAAACACACCAAATAAGCATCAACGAACGAAGATTCATAACTAAGGAATGAGCGCACGGAGACTATCTCAACAACATTGAATGCGAGCTAACCAAAAATAACGAAATATATAAAGACATTAATGACGATTATAACGTGGATGGTAGGACTACGATATCCAATGGTTGGTAATTCAGACGCACACACATCTTTCACCGCGTGTGCTCGCATGGTTATGGATGTGTATTTGTCGACGTGTGCATACAATGTGGTGGGTAAATCGGTGAGAGAATGCCTCAACATACTATACTGTTTGACCTAAATATATCAGGCTTTGCATTTAGAATTATAACCTCTCTTATGTTTGGAGGCAAGATTTAAACATTAACAATATGTACATTAATTTAATGAATTTTTTATATGTTTTAATTAAGAACATAAAATGAAATGTTCAAATATATCTAATAATTGTCTTGAAAATATATTTTATTGATGGCATGATTATTGAAAAATAAATGTTTTATCTAGAATAGATATAAATTTACTCACCCATTCCAACAAATTTTTCCTCAATTTTTTCTCATCATCCACCATTTGAAGCATGTCATGATAAGTTGCAGTTGCAATTCCTATGTCTAATGAATCTGGCTCCAACGACATTTTGCATACCAATTCATCGTGAGAGAATACACAAAATCGCCTTAAATTCGAATAATGCGATATGCATTCTCGTCCAATTTTGAGCTATTAAACACATAACAGAATCTATAAAATACATAATATACAAACGTGTCGATGACAGAATTTTAAAACGGCAGTATACCCAATCTGCAGGTGCAAAATTCACAGCTTCAGCGAAGTTATACCCTTGGTTAAAACCGGCATGATACGCACGGGGAAATGTTACCACGAATTCACCTGCATGTTGATCAGTTCTGTATACTGGAACACCTAAGTATCATGAGTAAATAGTTAATAATAGCTATTTAATGTAACACAATAATTAAAATCCCACATTACCTTCGCTTGTTAATATGTTAGGATTCATAATAGTTACTAATTGATGAAGTAAATCTGGCTGACTATGAAACAATTCTGGTGCAGCAGCTTTCATTGACTGCTCAAACTTTTCTGCCTGAGAGCCAGGCACACCATACCATGTTTTTGGCTCTCCCCAATGTAAATAATTAATTGAATAGCTCCAATGATCCTCGTTATGCCAACAAAATGTTGCAAAACACATCCCAACATACATCCATGGTACCTTCATACCACTAATGTCGGCATTAATGTGACCTAGGACGCTACTACGCAAAACTGGTAAATTATTCAAATTCCATGATGATTCAGCATACTCCTGATCGCATGTAAATAAATTAACACTCGTTTTCGTTGGAAATCCAGAACCATGGTCCATAGTATGTAAATCTGCTCCATATTCAACTGTTACATCTTCGTCAATTGAAGAAACTATCCGCCAAAATTCTTTCTCTACCAAAGATGTTGGCACCATCTATAACAGAATACATCGATTTACAATTTATGCATATATCCATCATTTTATTATTAAATACAACAATAACGTACATGTACAGGCATGTTAAAATAATCACTCTTGAATTGATCAGCCATTTCACCGAATTGTTGAAGAGTATATTCCCTTTGAGCTTGCTCAAATCCAAATGCTTCCATCGGCTTGGATACTTCTTCAGCAACACATTTTGGACACCGCCAATCGCCTTTTGGTATTTCTGTTAGCGGTGGCATTAAACAGAAAGTATGATAACTATCGTCACATCCATCGCATAAAAGCATACTTTCTTCGTTGTCACCTCTTCCACAATTATGACAAATGTATTTTGCCAGCTATAAAATAGGTTACACATAAGACAAAGAAAGTAATTATTTTATAGTTATTATCACAATAAAACAAGGCTTACAGGATCAAATTCATAAACAAGCTTTACACCCCTAGTTTTATTCGACTTCTTGGCTTCTTTGGTATTGAATCCAGCCATTTTCGGGCCAGCTCCATAAAATTGTAACTTTTTAAGCTCTTTGCTATTGTCATCGAAATCCTTACTTCTAAGTCCATCTTTAAAATCAGTATCTGAATCATCACACTCTTCCTTACAATCTTCTTGTTTAACAGATAATTCTTGCTTTTCCTCTTGGGCATTGAACCTTTTTGATCGACGTGAAAATTTTTCAGTTGGAGGTTTAATTTGCTGCCTTGATATAATTCCATGTGGTTTGTAGTCTCGATCTTTTTTCTCATTTACATTGGAATCTGGCTCAATTTTCTATAAAGTACAATATCATTTAGACACATTCAACAATCTATTGGTATATCGTTTTTTAACACGACTTACAATGTCTGTTAATGCTTTGCCCTGTTTAAAAACGTCAAATGGATATAAAATTCTTTCATAATGATTTTTTAAAATACTTCCAACGCTACGTCCAGAAGGATAACCTAGTTTATTTGCAATTTTTGCCCATCTTCTTTCCCTTGTTACAGTTTCAATGCCACCTACAGATAATAATATCAATATATTAGTATTTACATCAACCAAATTGTACTTGATAACTTTGATAATAAAACTGTAAGGAAACAAACCTTCATCGGTAACTATCTTATGCAGAGAATATAAATCAAGAGCTTTGCGCTCCACAAGAGGAATTTTTAACGAAGAACCTTGAAGCTCCCAGAATTTTGCGATTTGATCCAAGAAATTAAGTTTTATTCTTGTTTTCGCTTCCAGTTCATTTAGTCTTTGTATTCTTGGAACAAATTTGAATTTATCAACATCAACAGCAAATGGTGGCTGCCAGTTCTACAGAAAGACAGAGAACATGTTGCTAAATATTTATGAACAATACAAGAGATACAGATATTAATAGTTTGTATATTGATTTATAGTTTTTTCACGTATAAAAAATACATTGCAAAACAAATTCATTAAATGTATGAGAATAATAGTAACAGTATAAAACAACAAATAATGGTATTTGAAAATATAATACACATGATTTTTGGAAGTTACACAACATGACTACACATTCAATAAAGCTCCTGTTTAGTGTGACAACTTACAGGTCTTCAGATGAATTAAATAATGTGATAAAATGAGGATTTGGGGATGGAATGTGCGAGGGTTTTTTTTTATTGAAATGTATACAACAGAAAAAGCTATTTTCTTTTTGTTACAGTGAAAATTCGTCAACGAAGACATGCATTTCTAAATAATCGATAAGTGCCTTCGTAACTTTTTCTCCTATCATGACGCAACACCATCGTAGGGTCAGTAAAACTGATTTTTCTCATGGGAACGCAATACGAAATGCATACGGATCTACGGTTCAAATAAAGACGCAAATCATGTATTTCAATTTACTGTTAACTTAATGTAATCACGTTCAGTCGCATTAGGAGAGCAAATAACAATACGTGTCATTAAAATAATGTACCCCGCTAAGACAGAACAAACATGTCAAGTTGAAGAAAATAAACGCTGCAAAGATTTTCTCCATATACGACGCCCATTTAATGCCGTGACCAGAGTTATTTCCGTAATGGCGTCATCCCGTTACAAAATATAAACTTTTTCAATGAATAATGAGTTGCTAATAAAAGATTAACGCGTTCGAAATAAATTAAATTACAGATAAAACATTAACGATGTCATTAAAATGAATGGCAATTGTCTTAACGAAAATCAGTCCCAAAAAAATTAAGAAAATGGTTTTGAGGGAGGATAATGTTAACGGCCGTAAACATGATACATCTATTGTCGTCAAAGTAACAAAAAAAGAATATTATTAATCTACATATTGATCCACTGAAATACATTAATATATTATATTTCATTATTACATAATAAATTAAAAGAATTAATAACACTTCTTTTATTGGACTAGAAGGTGTTTAAAAAAAAAATTTACTAAGGTAATATAAATATTTTTGTGATTCTTATAGTACTATTTTGGGTGAAAAAATAATTTACAATCGACTTTTAAGATTAAACAAAAATTTTTGATCATAAGATGGCATTTAAAAAATCGTATAGCTGTAAGCTACTGTGAACGTGGGATACGAATAAATAGCATGAAATTTTCAATATTTATTTTATGTAATCCTTCTCAAATTACTAGATGAACGTATTTTTCCCCAAATTACGCAATTTTCAGTGTTTACTTTCAAAAATAATTCGTATTCGTTTAACTTCTTCTCAAATACATCTCCCCTGATATCTTCAAAATCATTGGCATTAATTCTGTTTCACTATCACTTTGTCCTTCGTGATTAAGCTACTAACATCAATGTACGATTTTTATATTGTAATATCTTCATTCCCCATACATGTGAAAACAAAATGGTGGCTCAAATCGATTCTAACGATGATACAAATCAAACGAACAATTAATAAAATTTAGATCATAAATGACAACATATGATAACAGCACCAAACATCCTACGAATATCTAAAAAAAAAATGAACTGATTCTGTTGCTTCTTTATGATGCTTCAACTGTATTGATAAAAAAAAAATTATATTAAATATTGAAATAAATTAGATGATACAGTAATGCCTATAAAATTCAGCACATAACATTGTACAAATTTATAAATATTTATTTATGAAAATAAAACAGATGTTATTTGTATTTTTGGATGAAACAGAAGTTTCTAGGAAAATATTAAACGATTCCCATATTTATGACGTTACGATATCATAATCGTCTCGGAAGGATCGTTGGCCAGAAACGGTGATAATTTTTTCGGCACTTTCTCTATCGATGTCATAGGCAACAGTCCAGATTTCTCGTAACATTTCATGAGATTTTACTAAGGTGACATTGTTTCGATTGTCTCAGCCATTTTACATAGCGTACCTCCTAGCTATAACGATATTAATGTCGCAATGAGACGACACTTCGTTTCAGTTTTTATTTTTTTTTATTTTTCGAGAATTTTCTTACTTGCAGCAACAACATACCGATTAAAAGATATCCGAACGCGTGTTAGATTCCGATGCAAATCCCATCGATACGCGTAAACTCGGAATTCATTTAAGATTAACATTTCGGTCATTCCTTCCCCGTTTAATCGCATTATCTTTCGTTTCATGTCGACAGAAATGTTGCGACTTTTTACCAGACCTTAACGTTTCAGTACGAACGCGAAGCGAGATAACTCCTATTGTCCCCGTCAAAATACGCTGCTACGAGAAATTGATTTCATTCCCTGATTAATTTTCATTTTGAAGCACGCACTACGTAGAAACTCATTTATTTTGTGATGTCACGAACGTGATGGTTCGTACGGAGCGTCATAGTGCGTAAACGAGGTCGTATGTGCATATCTTGCACGTTCGTAAGTGAAGAAAAAAAAATTACAAATTTATCCACTCGGGATTTGTCTGGCTCGAAACGAGGAACAAGGAAGATACGTGCATAGCGTCCTTCCCACGACAACGGAAGGAAAGAGAAAGCAGCAAGAGAAAAAATGATTGATGCGCTCGGGAAAGATTTACTTACAGGCGGCGGTTTGATCTTACAAATGCCAGACTTTGCTGCGATCGGTCGTATTTTTGCGATGTAACTCAGAGGGTCGTGAAACTCTTCGATACTTGGCTCGAAGACCGGCGCCTCTGGCGGTATGACAAACTCGAAGTCCGAATCACCACGATCACAAGCCATGTCTTGAGTGCAATGATAAGTCCCGAAAAAATCGTCACAACCGAAGTTCGTGTCGAACCTCGATACCATGACTTGAATGCTCAACACAGCTTGGATGTGGATAGGTGGCCCACAACGCACCTAACGCGGGTGAGCACCTCGCGTCAGGTCTGGCACCGTTACTCAGTCACCGGCTGCGAGAATCTATTTGAAAATATGATCTGATGAACCATCATCACGAACTGCATTTGTATATTTATTATAAAGCAGTTGACAAACTATGTGATAGCCACGAAACACACAGTACACAACATTCACGCTATCACGCGGAGCCTCGCACACGAGCAACTGTCGTATTCCTTGTTTCGTATACCTCTTCTTCCCTTGTGTCTATTTGATTATTCTGCAATAGTGGCGCCACCATACACCGTGGAATATGTCAGTGTATAGTTTTTTTATTCACCTTTTTCTTTTTTATAGAAAGTTTGTAGCATTAGATGCGAATAGAAAAATATATTATTTATATAAAAGGATCTTTAGAACTTATGTGATAGATGGAAGTTCGGTAATACTTCCAAAATTTGTTGAAATTGTAAGAAACATGCAAGTTGAAATGTTGGGAATAATAAACGACAAATAAAAATGAAAATTCCCTATGAATTATTTAATTTTAACTATTATTATATAATCAAGATAATATATCATTTCTATACTTATTTAGTAAGTGCGAAGTAGTAAATCATACCCACTTTACATAGTTATATTATTTTTTTTCATTGTATCAATTGATGAATACTTATTCTGAAATGGTAGAATTGCATTACAATATGGTAATGCAATATACTTAAGATAATTTTAATCCTATATATTGTATGCGTCATTAATATAAACATGTATAATGATTGTTTCAAATTAAAATATTGGCATAATTCTTTGGTATTTAAATTCACCGCTCTTATCACATATTCAAGATAGAGGGCGATGCTGCCCTCGTTTGGTGTCTATCCTGCAACTACAGTATTGGTAATTTGTGGCTTTAGTCGGTTCAATTTCGAAGAAGAGTATTATGTAAGTATTATTATTATTTTATGTAATTAAACTTTAGTATTACCTTTTAGTGTTTTGTACAATTGCATTTACTTGAACAAAACACAAATCATTTATAAATTAAGTATATTAAAAGTATAATAACATTTCTTACCTCTGTCTACTTGTTACCATTTCTTGGTTACGCTTAGGTTTATTTTGACAGAATAAAGTATTTCTTTTTCTTTTCAGAACACAATCAAGATGGGTAAAGATTGGGGAACTCTTGCCAAAATGAGTGGCATTACATACTTCCGTCTCAGTTCATATGAACAGAAAGCTTTTTCTGGAATGATCAAAGACGGATTACCTAACCTCATGCGTACCGTTCAACAACTTGCACTACGAGCGGGACCTTGTAAGTTTCGTTTCATAATTATTAATAATACAGCATTATTGTTAGTAAAAACATTATAAATTTAATTAAATAGCATTACTATTTAGTATATTTTATATACAGATTCAATCTTAATCTTTTTGTTTCATTTTACAGTTTTTTTGGGCACTTATTTGTTGATGGAATGGGCAGACGCAGAATATCGTAGATTAAATCGTAAACCTTACAGTCATTAGTTCTTAACGTAAAAATATTGTATGTAATTAGTTACTATTAATATGTAATATTTAATAGTAAAATAAAATTTAACATCTTCAAAAAAATTGTTATTTGTAATGATTATTATAATATTTGCCCGCAAGTGGTAGGAGGCCACAACCCTATATGCGGGACCCTTTACCCTACATTGTTATTTTCTCCTGGGCCGCATATAGAGCTGGGCGGGTTGAGGGGAAGGGAAATGGGCGTTGCGGGGGCATCGCCATTTTCCCTGAGGAAGCCTACCATGCTCGGTGCTGTACAAAGGTTTAATTTTATTATTCATTATATTACAATTTTTTTGTGGCATGTATAAAAAATTACAATGATATTCATTACTAGTACGTTCTTTGACATCTCATAGTAAATCCAGTTAGCAATAGCAATATTCTATAATAAATTACAGTAAAGAACTTTTTAATTAAAAATTATTTGACTGATTCTTCTTTAGTTTCTTTTTTTATTAATTTGGTAATACTATTTTGTGATATTTATCTTCGTTTTATTTTTTTCATACGTTTCAGTAATTACAATATCGGTCATTTTATTTTAACTCAATTGCTTTTCAATTACAATATTAACACCTTTTTCTCAATTTTTCCATCTTTAGTACACCTCTATTCCAGCGTGTCAAAACTATCCGATTCCGTTAGATCTAAGCGCCATATTCTACAGGTTTGCTTCAACCAATAAGAGAGCTTGGTATCAGGAATGCACCTGGGCAAAGCAGGTAAGAAGCGGTCAGGCAGAGAGCAATCAGGTAGTCGTTCAGGTATTTCCAGTCGAGCATGATCGGCACGTAGCTCTCTGCCAAAAAGCTTTCCCTCCTCTTTCTCTCTCTTTTTCCCTTATTGGTGTGTGCTAATTGTGACAAAATTTGTAAATAGGTAAGTAAAAAACAAAGTGAAACAGTTTCGTTCGAGTTCACGTCGGGTGAGTTGTGATACTTCAATGTCTGCTGGTTCCGTACGGGTCCCGAACTACGAAGCAGAAATCCAGCGGACTCGGTGAAACGCTGCTGTCAAGGTATTTATGGAAATGATTTCTGGACTGGAGTCATTGTACCGAGTACACCGACGTGGATTTCTCCCCGCAGAAAATCTGTCGTGGTCACACCTGTTGCTCTACGTCTCCGATAATAATCAACGCACGAGCATATCTATGTATATATGTAGACTGTACCTAGTTATGGTAACGGATTTCAGTCGGAAAAATCCCGGTATTAATGTCTACTCGAATACTTTGTAATTGACACATGTTCGTATTTATTTCATTCTGTATAAAAAAAAAGATACACGTTCGGAGTACTCGGTGACAAATCTCAATAAAAGTTGTCCTTACTTATAGTTGCAATATAAATCTTTATATGATAAACAATGTCGTTCCATAAGAGGGGATTTCTATTTCGAAGGGATTTTTTTCCCCATCAACTATACGAACATCAAGCGCGCCTAATACATCTCATAAAGATACTTGAACGATCAATTGTAAATCGTAGTGAACATTTTTATCGTCTTATCACTATTACAATGATTCATTCATCAGGTTGTTTTGAAATTCATTTCCTCATTCTTTAATCAGTTCCCTTTAACTGTTTTGACAACTTAACCTAACTTTTTTAATAGTACGCAGGTAGCGTATCTAAATATAGAAAACGCGTCGAAGGAATTTAATGCGTGCAAAAGTAGTGGGATCGTTGATTATGGAAATGAGAAAGAATAGTGAATGTGTTATTCTTCGTCGTTTAGTAAGGAGGTTCCCCGCCCATGACATTTCTAATGGACATTCTCCGATCCAAGCAAACACCGCGTTGTTTATCGTTAATCGATAACGCCTTCGAGTTTTAAACGCGATTGTCTCGAATAAAATCGTACCGCGTTAAATTACACTTGTATGTACATACAACGTGGAACCTCTTATCGACGAGATAGTCGATACTTGGGTGCAACTACGAGGGCTATTTCGCAAGTTTTTACGGTACTTATTCTTTTGGTACACATGCAGTTTTATTTCGCCTAGATTTACAATTATACCGTTCAACTTTTTTAACGATACGGGCCATCGAGAAAGAAGACGCCGACAGCTACGGGAATGTACGGCAATCACCTGTAATTCACGCCTACGAAATACATACCTACGTACTCCTCCATTATGATTGCCGTGACATAAATTGCAAATATTTACCGTACTCCGCGTCCATCGATATTGCATCGAACGACCTTCGATATCCTAGCGTACAAAGTGCATGCGTATTAAAACGCTGCTGTACGTTTTTTGCTAAATTGCGCGTTACAACGTATCGTACTAAATTCTCGTACCACATGCAATAATCTTACAAATATAACCGTGTAAGATTTCAACAAACAATTTACTCATTTAATTATCATAAACAATAGATTTTTCAAGTTGGAATTTTATCACACTTCCGCAAGCATAAAAATGCTAAACCCTTTTACAAATCTACTTAGTCATTATAATATATCGATAAGAAATAATCGCGTTCGAGTTAGCAAACTGGTACAAGTTGCTCGAACTTATCTAGAAATTGTTTCTTCGATAACACATATGTATTCTTGTTAATCTAACGATCATAGTCCACGAAACAGGTGACTATTCGCCACGTTTTAATAGTTAAGATTTTCCAGTTTCAATTTCGAGCATCTAAACGCAGTTATAAGGTTTAAAGAATTAATACTTACGTGGAAATAAATGGAAGATCGCCATTTTGAAGAAACTCAAATCTTAAGTAGCAGCGTAGGGGTTGAAACGCGACGGGTAACAGGTTGCTGCTTTTCAGAAAATACCTGTTCCCGGGTAGGGCAAGGGAACGCGAAAGGTAAACGCCTGTTGAAAGTAAACATATTGCGGATGGATAGCTGTGCGGGCATTGAAAAAGTGGAAAGAAAGTTGCCAATACGACTCGCATACCTACTGATCCGTCGATCGCGAACAAGTTTCGCAGCGAATGGACCGATCGAATGAACTTTTCACTCCTTTAATTTAAGCTAAATTAACCCTTTGTCGGTCTAGATGTCTCTTAGGCAAGGTGCAGCCTATAGACTACTAGAAAAAATTAATAGTAATTTTCAGTCACTCGTAAATTGCAATTATTTATTATTTAAAAAATATTTTGAAAGAACCGTTAATTTTCCTTAAATTTATATTTGGAAAGGAATATTGCGCCTCACAAGATTAGGAATGATTTTAATCGCTCTGTAAGGGTGAACAACCTTCGCGATCCAAGAGATGTTCCACGCACTGGCGAATGAAGGGAATGCGAGCAAAGTGTTTGTTGCTCGTATTATTGTAAATCGGGAAGATGAGGTTTTACGATGTTCCTTGTAAATCACCTTGCACCGTGCAACGATTACATTAACGATCGCATAAATTCTGCCCCTTTTTCGCGCGAGAACGTAGCAACACGTGTTACGTATATAATACATATAACTGGATCTTTTTAAACCTTCTCAATGTAAATTCATGAGAAATAATTGATACATAAAAAATTTTTTATTTGAATAAAATAGAAAAATTATGAGAGACGCGTGAAAAGATTCATAAATTTTTGACAGATAGCGATAATTTAGTTGCGTCGCTTTTATGGAAACGGGCTTTATCGAGGCGGCACCTTGGAGAATTCGTTGCAGGTATGCAAGGAGAGATGCGATTACCAGGCGCGCAACTATGCAGCCGAGAAAACGCGAGAATGCCAGACTTTCCGTCCCTTTCCCGTGTCATTTAGACTTTGCAGCCGCGGATCTGTTTCCATTGTACGTGCCTTCAAATCGCCTATAATATCCCCTGCATAATTTTCTTGCATTACGTGAACCTCGTTACATCTCGTGCATTTACGAAACGAATGCCTACTATAATGTTTAATTTACGAGCATTCGAAGTGTAAAAAATGTCAGGTATTTTAATGACGCGACAAAGCCGCTTAAATAAATGGTCCCACGATTATAATTTCGAAACGCGTATCCGACACACCGTAAGAAAGATTAAACACCAGAAAACCTAACCTTACTACGTCAAAAATTCATTCACCGAACGACGAAGAAAAAGCTCGAAGCTGAACGTCTGTATCTAATGTCGGTTCTTCTGGGAGAATGTCCATGTTGGACGACGAAGAAGAAGGCATGGTAAGGTTGAATGCCGTTTCTGTCAAGTACGGTCAAGGACGTGGTTACTTCAGCGCATTCCCTAGATGAATTTTTCTCCGCTGGGCGTGCCCGCATCCATAAGCAATTATACTCGCGCTTGTCGTTTCCTCGTAAATATGCCGTGTTGTCGCGCACTTTTTATTCTTCAGCTTACGATGCCGTCCTAACCTCCCTCTTCTCATCGACGCGCAATCGAATTCCAAACGTCTTCGTCGATCGATAGATCGATTTTCGCGTGGAATCGACGGAAATTAGCATAATTTAACCTCCAGCTTCGAACGTCCCGCGATAAGAATTTCCATTTCCGTCGTTACGTTTCAGTGAAACTGTAGATAGCTAAAATCCCGCTATCCTCAGCTCGTGATGAACGATCGTTAACGGTGTAAATGTAAAGCGTAGATAGGATACTTCACTTTCTACTTCTCGGTTCGTCTTTTGCGTGGTTGTAAACGGTATTCGATTTTTACGAAACACGTTTCCACGATTATTTCGTACCACGGATGGTTATTCTCGTTGGTGACCGTCTCCGGGAGATTTCCATCTCGAATAGATGAGAAACCATCGACGCGTTCGCTGTAAATAGACATTCGATTCGAGCAGAAATCTGGAATTTCAAAGACTCGCCGTGGAATTCTCAGCTCGCGGTCTTGAAATGCATTCAGCAACTTCAATCTCCGCTGTATGAACGAAGCCCACTCACCTTCCTTCCTTTTCCCTTCCCTTTTCGACGTGATTACTGTTAGGTCGCTGTTATGACATTTTCACTACGCAACTGAAAGACTATGCGAGAACCTGCCGCCAACAAGTCAATCGCCATGATCGAATCGAAAATGTAAATCGATCCTTGGTGCAACTGGACCAAACTATAGAGTAGAATATGGAAAAAAAATTGAAAGGGGGGTTTTAATTTATTCAAAGTGTCCAGAATTAATTCCACCAGTGTACATTTGTAATTAAATTCAATTTGAACGCCGGTACGAAACCACAAATATTCCAGTAATTCAGTCGGTGGTTACAGGGTGTCGTACATTTTTATGAGACACGATACACCGTGTCTAGAGAATAGAGAAGGAGGACAGCTATTTAGTGACACAATTTCATTTCAAATGTATACGATTGTACGTGGCCGACGGATTTGGATCGTAGAACTATCGGTTAATGGTATTGCGTAACGTTTACCGATAGGTGACTCGATAAAAATGGGTTGTATCATCGACGGTGGGAACGGTTTGTTGGGTTCCCTTGAGATCGTGAGGCTAGTTGCTATCTCCTACGCTTATTTTCTTCTTTTACAATTGTATCCCCTTCTCTACAATGTAATGTCTACACGTTGAATGGAGTCAATAGAATCTACCGCCAATTGCCGACCTAACCTAACCTCGCCATTGTTTCGTACAGTACTTATGGCGTTTGATAGTTTGTTGCTTCCTAAAGTTCCATTTTTTTAATAGAACATATAATAAGGAATTCAGTTAATTTTTTTCTCAATTTTATACAGAATCGAGGGCACTTTTTATGATTGCAATAATGCCAATTGCCAACCTAACCTAACCTCGCCATTGTTTCGTACAGTACTTATGGCGTTTGATAGTTTGTTGCTTCTTAAAGTTCCAATTTTTAAATAGAACATATAATAAGGAATTCAGTTTATTTTTTTCTCAATTTTATACAGAATCTAGGGCACTTTTTATGATTGCAATAACGCGATCCTTAGCGGTTTATGAAACTTTGTTGCATCTGATAGGGGCACGTAACAATGCCTTCTCCGTTATGCGGATTCCCAGGCCTGACTAATCCTTGTGGCATAGTGAAAGCATTCAATCTGGACGAAAACGTTCGCCGGCCAAACCTTTCCACGTTTGGATTTCGAATATTAATTGCGATCGCGCCGCTTTTACCGGGCTTTAATTGCGCGACAGACAAACCGGAAAGACCGGGATTCGAAGCTGGATATTTTTCGTTCAATGCTCCAACAATCTACCAGCTGGTTTATCGACAACTTCCTCTTGCTCGAGTTTAACATTTCACTACGTATACTTACTTGCTGATTATACACGTGCTCGACATGGGAACTGGATAGGTGAACTAGAGTGGGTGATCAAATTATTAAAGTCATAGTATGAAAAATGAGTTTTTCGTGTTTGTGTAGAAATGGAGCCACAATTTTAAAGTTTTTAAATTGCGTAATTTTTAATCAATAATTCTCCGCTATTAAAATACAGAAAAATACTTATAAAAATAAACAAGTACATTTAAAAGATTATATTACTGCCTCAATTCTTTTCGGCATACTTTCCATGCATTTTAAGCAATTCATTTCGATTACTTTATTTCTAGCTCATACTTCTATCAAACGTTCAGTCAATTGACATTTATTAATAATAAATATTTCCACAATTTTTTTATGGGCCTGAGGTCCGAAGAATTTCTAGGCCAGTCAAGAACTTTCACTTTTTTCAACTGTGTGACATAATTTTACAAGTGTCAATGCATCGTAAAAAAATAACACAAACTTTGTTTAATTCAGTTTTCATTTAGATTGCCGGATAAATAGATCCGTCAAAATAGGTATAGCACATATGGTATTTTTGGAACTAAGGAGTGGGAGGGGAATATTTCATAATTCTATTAAAAACCAACATATCTTTTTAAAAAAATTGTTTAAGTTTTTCTATATATACAGCAATAAAATCTTAAATGAGTCAAATTGACTCGGTCCGGCAATCTAGTGTTAAGAATTAATGATATTTATAAAAAATCATCAATTTATGCGAGCGGCTCTAATAATTTCATCACCCACTGTAGGTTATACAGGGTGGCGCTGGTTAAATTGGCTTGAAAATCTTTTCACTTCAACATATGCTGATAAATATTAAATTTCTTATAAAAATTCGAAAAAATACATCCTTCCCGTTATGGTGCATTATGCACGTGACCTTTAAACATACATTACTACTATAAATGCTGGTACCATATCGAAGGATTGATAAATTTTACAAATAACACCGTTAAGCCCGCATATATAGGAGCTTCTATTTAACACCTGCCCGTATAAATACGGAACGTTCTCGTCCGTAACGAAGCATCGAATTAAATAAGTTTCTCTTGAAGCAAATTCAGAATTTCACATTCCTCCGCGCATAACTATGCAAAAACCAGTTGTTTTCATGGTTTCTCACGCATCTCCGAGGAGAGTGAAAAAAAAGTTTGAAGCGATTAAAGGTTCATGAAGTTTCTGAATGAAGAAACTAACATTCTAGACGTAGAAATAATATTTCTATTGGATCTAATTTATGGAATATTCCGAAGCTTTTAAAGCACTCGGATATATTCATTTCTCAATTTATATGATAAATCGATACCTGATTAATCGAAGTCGATATCTTCGTAATTGAACGGTTTATTTTCATGGCTAATCTAATTAATAAATTATGGACGTTTATGAGAACGAGTTATAGATTGGTAAAGTGAACATACAGGGTGTTCCATTAAAATATTTTCTAAAATATTAATTTTTCAAAAATAAAATATAAAATAAATTAAAATCAGAATCAAAATTAAAATAAAATCTTGGATGGTATTAGGGGGCAATGTTAACCCTTTAATTACCAGAAAATTAATTCTAATTTTTACTACTTAAAATTGCATCTATTATTGGAGGTCAGTTGCTCTTTAACCCTTTGAACCGATTGGTCAGGACACGCGACGCGATGCTGGTCCCAGTAAAAGCGTTTGTCAAAGAGGAATATTTATCGGCTCATTGTGTCCGCGGGATCTCACCATCGAAGTTCGATAGGTGGAAGGCACGCGAAAGGAATTCTCGACATGTCTGGCGAGCGAATTAGGCTCATTGGAATTTCACTTTGGTTACAAGCTGGCTTTCGTGCCGCCAAGTATGGTCCCCATGACCCGGTAGCCGGATACGATACGCGACGTGCCAGTATCGGCTGCCTCCTTCATTAAGTTATTAAACCTTGCGCTTGGCGAACCGTTGTAACATCATTGAGTCATTAGGATACAACAAAATCACGTTCAACGTAGTTCTTTGCTCTTATTAAAAAAAAAAAGAAACATGTCTCTATAGATTTGTTCAAGATGGAATATTAATTGTATGTTGCAGATAAAAGGCGAACGTTGATCTGGCCACGATGCCGTACTACAACAGCGGGCACAGTCCCTCCACTTACAATAAAGGTAAATTCGGAGCATTTGAAATTGAGGCGAGGATGAAAATTGAAAAATTCGCTTTGGGATTCTTTAAATCCCTTCGATCCTCCGGAATAATTAACACTATTTGAAATTTGAGGCGAGGATGGAAATTGAAAAATTCGTTTTGGAATTCTTTAAATCCCTTCGATCCTCCGGAATAATTAACACTATTTGAAATTTGAGGCGAGGATGGAAATTGAAAAATTCGCTTTGGAATTCTTTAAATCCCTTCGACCCTCCGGAATAATTAACACTATTTGAAATTTGAGGCGAGGGTGGAAATTGAAATCTTCGCTTTGGGATTCTTTAAATCCCTTCGATCCTCCGGAATAATTAACACTATTTGAAATTTGAAGCGAGGATGGAAATTGAAAAATTCGCTTTGGGATTCTTTAAATCCCTTCGACCCCCCGGAATAATTAACACTAAATTATCCTAATTTGACTCATTTACAATTTTATTGCTGTATATATAGAAAAATTTAAATAATTTTTTAAATAGAATTATGAAATATATACAAATACTAATTCCTTCCCCTCCCACTCCTTAGTTCCAAAAATCCATATGCGCTATACCTATTTTGACGGATCTATTTGTCCGGCAATCTAGTGTTAACTAGATTCATAGTAAACGAACGTGTTTAGATGGAGGATCCAGTGGTCCATCCAGCACATCCGGCGGACGAGTCAGTAGCTCCGAGCCGACTTACATGATGGAGCATTTGGCCACGTTCACGGTCACGAAAGAAACCGGTATTGTTTATCCAGCGGACGGTATGCGACGACTTTTGCAGCTGGAGAAGAGTAACGGCATCTGGAGTCAAAAGATGCAGCTCCGTCTGGAACGGAACTGGGTACTGATCATGGACAATGAGACCGGGGTAAAGATTCATAGGAATGTTTCTACGAGAACAGATATAATGTACAAAGTGCCTCTGAAAAACAGCAACGTCTTATCAGCATTCGACATGAATAATTAATCCGATAACAAGTTTGCACAAGTGACTTACATATCTCTGGTACCATGTTTGCAATAGCAATGATACTAGTTTCTATGATAGAATATTTCAATTTACGCTTCTGTTAGTTAATTATTATTTTAATAATTAGGGTACACCTGTTGAACCGATTTTCATTTGAGGGCCATCGATCTCCACCGAGTGAATGGTAAAAATATTAACAATATTAATCGAATATAGGACGTTTCAGAGGCAGCTTGTATAACCGTGTACCGTAGAATGATAAACCACGAAGTGGAACATTTGTGAAATTACATTACGTCGAGGATTCGAGGCAATTTCACTTAATGCATCGTTGGTAAATTCGTATGCAGGCCGTCATGGAGCGATTCCCAGCCTCGTTGATACAGGAACCGACCGCGTTCACGTCGAGGGACCCGATGGAGATGTATAACAACATTCTCGTCTTCACAGTGGCGGATGACAGCGGTTCCGGTCAACGAGCAGAAATGCATATATTCCAGTGTCAAAGCGTCTCGGCCCAGGACCTGGTGGAGGATTTGAAGATGTTGCAAATGGGTAAACTGGTACCAGGTGGGTCGCCGAGAGGTCCCAGGGGTCGTATACCACCACCTCCGACTCTACCGCCACCGGAACCACCCTTGAACGGTGTCAACGTCCGGGAACAGGTGTCCGCCTTTAACGCTAATAATGGTACATCCTACTCTCGTTTATTATTTTTATGAATATTTCATGAAAGTCTGCGTACACTGGTAAAAGTGGGCTAATCGAATGCATTTTTATAGCCGACGGTCAGAACGATATATCCCGGGAGGAGAACAACGACGAGGTATCATCCACGTCCTCCGAGAAGTACGAACGAGACGTGACGATTCTGAACCACTGCTTCGACGATATCGAGAAATTTATCGCTCGGCTCCAACACGCGGCGGCCGCTTCCAAAGAGCTCGAACGTCGAAGAAGGAACAGGAAGTCGAAGAAGAGGAACCTAGGCGACGGTATGCTGACAATGAGAGCGAAACCACCGCCCGAGATGGAATTCATCGACATATTCCAGAAGTTCAAGCTCTCGTTCAACCTGCTGGCCAAGCTGAAGGCCCACATTCACGATCCGAACGCGCCCGAGCTCGTACACTTTCTCTTCACGCCGCTCGCGTTGATCGTGGACGCGTCCCACGACACCAATTACGATCCGAATCTACCGAGCAAAGTTGTCTCCCCGTTGTTGACCAGAGAGGCTGTCAATTTATTGATCAACTGCGTCACCAGCAAAGAGACTGAACTATGGCACTCGTTGGGCGATACCTGGTTGATACCGAGAGATCAATGGAAAGGTCACGTGCCACCGTATCATCCTATCTT